AAAAAAAAAGAACTTTTTGTTTTCTTATGTTGATTTATTTTGATCTTTCTAGCAATATTTGGTTTTCATTTGTTGTTTAAGATTCTTGAACTTTACAACTCTATGAGGTATATGTAACATTGATGGATGCTGTTTGGTCCAAAATACTGTATAAATTGATGTTTGCTGCAGCAAAAATATAAGCTTGATAGGGATATTAACAAATGCTAACCGTGAAGTTTACCTTAACTATTAAAAAAAAACCCGGTAATTGTTTTACAGAATTAGATTTGCCAGGAGTATTCTTCCCTTTAGATTTGCATCTACCTAAAAGATGCCGCTCGTTTGCTGTTTGGAGACGAACGTCGAAAGGTATTTGTAAATTTCTAAGATGGTTGTGGCATTAGTTTTTAATTTAGCTGACCCTCATGGATGGTTTTCGTAGATAACACTAACCGGATACTTGATAAGAACTTAGAGCTTCAAATTTTGGATTTCAACATGAAAACCTCATCCATTGTCTTGGTCACATTCTGATCGGACCGCGTCCCAAGATCTGGAAAAAATTAAGTTGTTTTTTGCTGGTGTATTTTTGTATTTTGTTTATATTTTGCCCCTTATTTGAAATTAGTCTTTTAGTGACAGGATATGGGAGTTTTGGGAATGATAAGATATGGGGGTATATTGGTTCAGTCCTAGTTAAGATTTGTGGGAATGTCACTGTTAACAAGCCAAATTGCCATCCAAGAATTTTCACTTTTTTGCAGGGAATTCATATTATTCAAATCTGCCGAATCACCCATGGTATGATCTTCTACATCCTAGGTCTTCCCGTTCCTTCATCTGGCTTATGTTCTTCATGTAGCATTCAGACCGAATGACTCTATGAAATTACGTCGATACTTCCCCATATTATGGGTAACGTAGGAGACATCTCTCTTTTTCCCCTGGGGATATTTAGAATTCCCACTGCTTAGAGAGAGAGAGAGAGAGAGAGAGAGAGAGATGTCTATTTAGGTCTGAGCAGAACTTAATGCCTAGATTGAAAACAAATGGGACATCATTCATTGCCTTTAGAATTATAAATGGCAACAAATTCTATCTGTGTGTCATAGACTCATACATAAGACAGCTCATTACAAGCTTCTCTGTGAATGTCAGTTAGCCTCATCTTTTTTTTCTCCTTTTCCTATGTCCAGTTTTCTTGTTACAAGTTATCTTCCACGATTATAGATTATTAGAATTAAGTTGCATTTTGTTACTCTATTCCAAGAGTTTGTGATCGAGCTTCGGGAAAACATCGTAATGAAACTGGAAATAAGACTTAAGTGAAATTACAATCGAAAGATAAGCCTCCAATTACCAAAATCCCGATAATGATCCAAATACGTGAAGCAAGAACAAGTCTTGGATCTTTCATAAACTTAGTTTTCAGTTTCCGCCTTATCACGTCCCATGAGTAATTTCACTCATCAATTGCGGCCTGCCATGTTTGTATTTCTTGTTTAGAGCTTTCTAACATTTTCGACTAAATATTTTTTTTTTTTTATATATAATTCATTATGTATGTCCGTCAAACTAGGACCGAAAGTTGAGTATATAAATAATTATCCCTTTTTGTTCTGTTTATGTGTAGGGGAGTCGTGGTTCTGTTGCATGGCTTGAATGAACACAGGTATATCTGCTTCAATGTAGATTGCCTGATAAATTTTAATTTTAATTTGCTTGTCCTTAATGTATACTTTGCTTTTTCAACAGTGGTAGATATAATGATTTTGCCAAGAAACTGAATGCAAATGGCTTCAAAGTTTATGGATTGGATTGGATTGGTAAGTCAATATTCGTTTAGAGATTATTTTTCTCGACTCTATATGTTGTATGCTAACGTTCCTTTCCATTTTTGGCTCAAGGCATGGATTATAAGACAGTGATGTTACTTTTTAATTTTGATGTGATCTTGCTTGCAAAAATATATGAAATCTGTTTCATAGTTCCTTATTCTGTGATTATGCTTTACAGGGACCAGAAGCAGATAATAGTAAAGGTAGATACAAATTACAATTGATATTTTTTTGTTTCTATGAAGCATTTTGTGTTTAAGCTGTCTTTTATGAGCAATCTTTCAAATTACCTTTGTTTGTATTTCGATGAGAAGAGTTCTCCATAGATTCGAAATTAATCGCTTAGTTAGGAGATTACCAATACAAGCTCGGTGCTTTTATTATAAATGCAAGGCGCTAGAAATTCCTCGATTTTCATCCAAATGATCTATTCTATTGCCTCATTGTTACATAATTTTTTTTTTTTAAAAATCTTTTGCAGGACATGGTGGAAGTGATGGGCTGCACGCTTATGTTCATTCTCTCGATTACGCTGTCAGTGATTTGGTATGCGTCATTTGATTCACTCAACAAGAAAATATTAATCATTTTTCATTCTAAGCCGATGTCTTGTTCAGCCCTTAATTTTCATTTAGTATTTTTCCTTTCTCTCCTCTCTTGTTCTAGAAACTTTTTCTCGACAAAGTTGTAGCTGAAAACCCAGCTTTGCCCTGTTTTTGCTTCGGGCACTCGACTGGTGGAGCTATAGTTTTGAAGGTACACCAGAATCGGACCATTTATTTTAAAATCCGTTGATTGATTATGGTCAAAAGTTAAATCCCGGTTAGTTTCTTATGGCCCTTCACCGTTGCACAAACAGGCCAATCTTGACCCGAAAGTGCAACAACGCGTGGCCGGTATTGTATTAACGTCACCCGCCGTTGCAGTTCAGCCGTCACATCCAATTATTGCTGTAAGAATCTTTCTTGTCTAAAAGCTTTCCTCAACTGAACTTCCCATTAGCATATGTTAAGGATATAAATTATTATTATTATTATTATTATTTTTTTTTTTATTTTTTTTTTTTATGATATCATCTAAAACCTCATAGGTTCTTGCCCCGGTTTTCTCTCTACTGCTACCGAGATTTCAATTTCGCGCAGCCAATAAAGAAGGGACGGTTGTCTCGCGGGACCCACAGGCGCTCGTGGCCAAGTACTCGGACCCGCTCGTGTTCACGGGTTCGATACGGGTGCGGACAGGGTACGAGATCCTCCGCATCACGACGTACCTACAGCAAAACCTGAGCCGGGTCAACGTGCCCTTTTTTGTGCTCCACGGCACGGACGATTCGGTGACCGACCCGGGTGGGTCCCGCAGGCTCTATGAGGAGGCCTCGTCGGCTGACAAGACGATCGAGTTGTGTCGGGGCCTGTTGCATGATCTGTTGTTCGAGCCAGAGAAGGAGGAGGTTGGGGACAAAATTGTTGCATGGTTCAAGGATAGGTTGTGAGTCTTGTGATTTACTTTTTTTTTTTTTTT